TTTTCTCAAGGCAGACTCGATCGGAAATCAAGCAATTTCTGAGGGGGACCGGTGATTTCATTGGGATATATCCCACGTCCTTGCCTAGGGAGTTCAGCATGCAGCTCCTATCTACAATACCCGAAAGACGATGACCCAATAAGGAATTGTCACCTTCGAGGAAAAACAATAGTTGCTTCAATGCGAACCTCTTTTCACGCTGTCGTCTTCTATGTCTAGCGGAACCTGACTCACCTTCGATATCAACATTGGCCTTAATCAAACACATAAACCTGCCCGAAAGAATTCAAGCAAAAAATTTCCTGAACACGGGGCCAAAAACCCAGTTCGAGCATGGCTCATTTGCGTAAAATATATTGCTGATATTACAGAATGTCCCATAAATAGTGCACCAAATTTTAACACATTGACGACAACGCGAGTTTTGGCTTTTTTGGCCACGTGGGACCGCGGCGATTTTGCGGGCGCGCCGCCTCAGGTCGTTCAAGCAGATTTTGAGTGATAAATACATAAATAATGATCAATACAAAACCAGATCAGTAAATTGTAATGAGCACAACCTACCAGGGGTACAGTAGTGGAATTTCGATCGAAAGACATGGAATAACAATGAAAAAGCGAAATTTGTCAGAACTAGCTGCAATGGACCTCAAAAGCAATTTTACGTTGATTATTCCAATCAAAACACACATATTGTCATCCCTAAGGTTCCTTATCTACTTCTACTACTATTTAAATCTTCACATTAATAAAAAGAAGTAAACGAAAAATTTATTGAAATGAATGGTGGATGGTATTCCCTTCCAGCTAATTAAAATAATTTCTTCAAAGATTTCTTCTCCCTTGGAGTACCTCTTTAATTTGACCTTTTGTCGTGGTGAGATCCTGACAGATGGAAACATGCGTTAGTTATCCCTTTACTGAAAAAGTCACCTTGTCGTGATCCTCACAATTACAGACCTTTAAGTATAACTTCTCTTTTTTGTCGTGTGTTTGAAAAAATATTGAAGAAGAGAATCGAGTTCCACCTGGAACTCAACCGTGTTTTACCTAGCTGTCAACATGGATTTAGGAAAGGTAAGTCTACTGAAACGTTGATGCTGGAATCACCTAAATGAATGGACTGCAGCGCTTGATAGCAAGGAAGTGTTGATGTGGTCTGTCTTGATTTCCAGAAGGCGTTTGACAGAGTCTCTCATGAACTCCTAGTTTTGAAGCTCACTCACGTGGCTATCCATCCTCGGATAGTTTCTTGGATCAGAGCCTTTCTTGATAATCTACCTTCCAAGTGTTACTTAATGGCAAACTTTCTATGATCCGTGATGCTCCCTCTGGTGTTCCCCAGGGAGGTGTTTTATCTCCTCTTCTTTTTGCTGTTTATGTGTATGATTTGCCTGCTGTTATTGCTAAAGAGGGGATCACCTGTAAGATGTTCGCCGATGACATCAAATTATTTGGAAAAATTCAAAATGGTGAAAGTTTTTCCAAATGCAAACTGCCTTACATGCTGTCTTTCGCTGGTCTCAGGAATGGTGTCTATCTCTTTTTCCTGATAAATCGAAGGTTCTCCATCTTAGGGAAAACTATTTCCGCTTCGATTATCTCATGTCAGGAACCTCCTCGAAAAGGTTGATTCAGTGAAGGATCTAGGTTTCATTATTGATAATAAACTCTCGTTTGATGAGCATTGTAGGAACATTGCCAGTACGCCGAACACCCCCTTTGCCTTTTGTTCAAATCTCTGTGCTCTAAGGATTCACAGCTTTTTATTCTAGCATATAAAACCTATGTTAGACCCATGCTTGAATATGGTACATGCGTTTTCTCTCCTAGTAAGAAGGCCTTGGTGGGACCGATTGAGAGTTCAAAATAGCTTCACTAGGAGGTGTTTCTCCGTTCATTAGGTTTTACTTACCGGCAGCATTCGCGTAGTTATAAGGAACTCAGTGCTTAATTTAGACTCCCTTAAGCTTAAGACGAAGAAGAATGATCTTTTAATTGGTTTTCAAGATTCTCCATGGGCTTAGTTGATCTTAAATCTGGAGATTTCTTTAAATTATATCCGTCCTCAACAAGGTCAATCACTCAAAATTTTTCTTCGTCGACCATGTTCTTCCATGAGTAGAAACTTCTTCACCTTTAGGGCTGGGTCTGATTTCTCAAATAAGCAAAAAGAATACTGTGCCGGGTTCTCTTACAGGTTTCAAAAAGCTGTTAGATCGTTATCTTTGTCTCGCTAATTAATACTTTGTTACTCCTAAGTTGATATTCATGTTATATTTTTCGCTATGCCTTTAGCTGTTGTTTCTTTTGGTTCCTTGAGATTTATTTTTCTGTTGTTTCACTCTATTACATGTGTGTTAGCATGTAATAAATTTGAATTTGAATTTGAATGAAGATTTCGTATGGTTCAGAAATCCTCCTCTAAATTAAAGTATACGTGACCATTCTAAGGGCCACTATGTTTGTAGCTACGTCAAGGTCTCTTCCATGGAATGAATACAAGAAACTTCTAAAAGAATCAGGCGTGCGCGAAAAAAATGAGTGTAATGGGTGCGGGGGATATATATCCCGCACGGTCCGACATGGCCTGCAATGCGCGGGATATATATCCCCCGCGTTGTCGTCAATGTGTTAAGCTCAAATTCTGTAGGTGTTTACAACCTTTCTTCCGAGATTGGCAGACCTTTCCAATCCTCTATCCTCTTGTCAATGACCATGCCAAATTCCACGGCTTACCGTTCGGCCTGCATCTCATGGTGCGCCTAAACTTCAACAGAGTGCCTAACCTCTCACACAGCTAGGTCGGACATCCGGTGATGAGCATCGCGCTTCTTTGGATTTTCAACCGCTCCGCGGCCTACCGTGCACTAAAGAGAAGACCAATAAAAGTAGTCTTTGTTGTGGCCGCCCCACAAGTTCTGACATCTTGGATCTCAGGAAAAGCATGAAGAAGCGAAACGACTGCAATACCCGGGTTGGCTCGAGAAAGGTGACCAGAACGCTGGAGTTTCTAAACACAGCCATGTAGAGAGTGGTCGGATAACAACTGCTCACAGTCCATTATAAGTTGCATAAGCACCACTGCTCAATCCAACGGGAGGAGCACAGCAGAGACAAAAAGTTCAAAGAGCTGGTGTCGAGGGCCGAAAATGGCGATTACGCGGGCACCGTTTTCATCGACGACAAAATTCCTCACACATGGAGCGGATACAATCTCCAAATTTTAAGTGAGGTCTCAAGGCTGCCAAAAGAGTCCTTCAGAAGCAACAGCCAATCCTTATCACGGTCTAGGCAGAGGTCTCAACTACCAGTCACTGCCTGTTTACAAAGGAATACAACTTGATACTAGACCGAGCCAAGGGACATTTCGGTGCACCATCTGTTACTGAGGTATCTAGCCACTTTGAGGAGGGTGATGATCTTTTCAATAGGACCCAGCTTCTGCATAGGAGGCAAAAATTGTTCAGGAGCGCTGTTAAGGCACTCTTTCCGATTTCACATCCTCGAACGAATGGCTCTCCTATCCCTTGATTTCAGCGTGCTGGACCATCCTATGTGGGCTATGTTAGGGGCAGAGCCTGCACTAAACATTGCATCCACATGGATGAGCCGGAGCCTTTTCTCTGCAAAGTTTCGAAGAGAACACCCCAGGATGCCATGCGGGCCACAGTAGAGTTGCGTTCGAAGCAATTGGGAGCCATACTCACAACAACAGGGGAGCATATCCAATGAATGTCATTCCTTTCAATATGTAAATGTATTGCTAAAATTTTTGTAAAACCTCTTGAAGATACATCCATTTTGAAAGAAGTTACAAGTAAAAAAAGTGGTGCAATATTTATGGGACACCCTGTATTTTCCCAGCGAATACTGCCTGTCGCAATTGCAGACCCTGGCACACGTGACTCATTGGCCTCAGAAAATGATATTCCATGTTCCATTTTGATGCTCGATCAGCTCCTGGGCCATAAGAAAAAATGACTTTGTGAATGAATGAATGGACTACGGTGTGCTATGCTACCGTAACCTCGACTCACTACATATCACAGCACGTAATAATGATTTATTAGCACATACAACACTGATAAGATACAGGAGAAATCTAACTGTGGCAAATTATGCTAAATGAATATGCTACCTTCAACATGGAACATGCAAGTAGAAACGGTCTTAATGCAAAAAAAATTCAAATGATTAATATTAAGAATTAGGCTTACAAAGAATAAATAATTTGATTAATCATGAGGGAATATTATTAGGAGTAGTAATCACATAACACTAAATCATTGCACAATACCTCCACAGCGGTTGTCAGATCCAGGAAAGAGAACTTCGGTATTCATTCAGAAACAACGTTTAATTTTTGTAAATCGAAATTCAAGGCACATCGATGGGTTCATCTGTATGAAGCACACAGCTATTACCTGGTACGCTAATGCAGTCACTCTTCATATTCCCCGAACTGAACCTACTTCTAATTGTAGACTCTGTGACGCACACGGTGAAAGCCTGAGAAACTGACGTCACGGCTCCTTTTAATGCTCTTGATGCTATCTGATGCCATGTATGTTACCATGTCTGCAGTTATGACAGCCCCGCCGCGGTGAACAAAATGAGCCACATGTCTGCACTCATGGCAGCCCCGCCGTGGTAAACAAGATGAGCCACATCTTCAGACACCACACTCATACATCGCGATTAGCCGGAAAATCAGAAAGTTTTAATCGATCAGAAAATCAGAAAGTCTTAATCGATCAGCCCTACAAATATGCGATTTCCAAGACTTTTAGAATACGAAATGATGCAAGCATGTGACGCTATTTTTGCCTACTCACTTGAACCCACTTCAATATGCCCTAACTTGAGCAAGAATATAAACGATCAAAAATGGCCGTGTTTGCAAAGAGGAATGAGAGCATGAGAACCCGTTTTTATAAAGCAACGTGGAAAACCGCAGGAACAGATATTTTGAAAATGACATACGAAGGCAGTTGATCTCATACACGCCTTCGAGCTCTTTCCTTCAATCGTCGTACTTCGTTCTCAACACCGCTTTCGCCCATCATTCGATCAAATACATCGTCGGTGATGACTGCATCTTCAGATACAGCTAAAACAGTTCCTATCTCACTTCTAACCCCTTTGAACCCTTCTAACAAAAACAGCGCCCATAAAAAACGTACACTCCTCCCCGAAACGGAACAAAACCATTCGGCTGTTGGCTCGGTCACACGCCATGAGCATTCCAGATGGTGACACACCGAATGCCGAACAATACGGAAAGCTAGCACCATTGGCAATGCGAGCGCACTTCAGCATTTGGCCAGAGGTCGTAAACAACTGAAAATCCTTGTCTTTTCTTGAATAAAATTCACTAAATAAGTCCACTAACGAAGCTGGCAATTCTTACCTTCAGCGTGTAAGTTTTGGCGTCAGCTATTAGCAGATGTCCGGAATCGTCACACCGTATACCGCTCATAAAGACAAATCTGAGACATTAGCCGTTAAAAAAGCAAACTACACATGCAGCAGAAAGCAGCTTGGCTGTGGATAAGGTTGAACATGTAGCAAATGCAAAAATAGATAATCGAAAATGCCTGAAGAAGAGCAGATGGAATGGAAGAAGTGGTGATTACAGTTGACGGCTTTTGGGAACGAATCCTGTACAAGCCAAGGAAACTCTCGATTTCATCGAATTTAACGCCACAAATCACAATTCAGCGGCGCAGTTGCAGATGATTCTTGCAAACAGTACCCAAATATTGTTTGGTGTTGAATGCAAAGCTTTCGCTGATGACATAAAGATTTACGCGGATACGCGCTTGACAGGGAAGAGGGCGCATCAAGAATTTCTTTGGCAACTGACGCGATGTAAAAGTGGTCTGATGAATGGAGGCTCCCACTTTGCCCAGAGAAGAATAAGGTGCTACATTTGGCCTGAATAATGGGCGCTCTTCATACAGCTTAAATGGTTTTAAACTTACAGCGGTACCTTCAACGGTAGATTTAGGCTTTTATGTCAATGAAAAGCTTGACTTCTCCAGACATTGCGATAAAATCTCCTTTGCAGCCCAAAGAAGAATCTACAACTTGTTCAAAGCCATTTCTTCATCAAATCCTAAAGTTCTTCTCGCAGCTTACAAAACCTACGTCAGGCCAATGTTAGAATACGGGACGGCTGTGTCATACCCATCTAAGCAGTTATGCATAAAACGGCTAGAGGCAGTCCAAAATAGCTTCACGCGCAAATTGTTTCTCCGTTGTTATGGCTTTTCTTACCTATCAAAGCAGGATTCCTCGTCCCGCAAGTAAGCGCTTGGATTAAGTCAAGGTTCAGTGCTCTGACTTCTTCCAACTTTTGCCAATCAGTTACTAGAGGAAGTCGCAATAAGATAAATTTCGCTGCAGCTCGTTTTAGTCTCAGGCATCACTTTTTTGTCAATCGTGCCGGGTCAGCATACAAGCGGCTCACTAAACATAGCTCGCTTCCCTCATCCAAAAACATCCTCAAATCTTATCTCAACCGCGTACTCCGATGACGTTCCAGTCTTTTCCCGCCCTTTTGTCGATTCCTCATTTCACCGTACTTTCAATGTTTGCCTTTTGTATTTTGGTGTTGTGCGTTTTACTTTCTTTCTGGTTCTTGTTTTGTGGCCATCATACATTGCGAGTCATGTAATAAACAAACAAAAACAATATCAAATGCAGTTATAGTTCGCGATTCCAGCAATCTTGCGATCGCGCGATTGCCAGCCCCGCGTATGGCTGAGAGCGACGCAGGGTCAACCCTACGTTGTTACGAGTAACAACGGGGGGGTCGTACCTGGTTGAGTTTGTAGGAGGGGGGGTCGTACCCACTTTAGTCGCTCGAAATCACGTGTGGGAGTGAGGAGAAACCGAGATTTCCGTGGGTAGTAGGTTGTGCGAGTAGAGGGCGCGCAAGATAAAAATTTGCCGTTTCAGCCGGCGTATATACCCCCCCTAGAAAAGGAAACAGTGAGATTATAGGGAGAAATTGGGCAAATTGGTGGAAAATTTAGGGGATTGTGGGAAATTATGGGAAAATTTTTACTGTTTCAGAGGGACTATATACCCCCCCGCTCGACGGCATTTTTGGAGGAAAAAGTGGGCGGAGTTTTGAGGGTTGAGTGGTAGTGGAAGTTAAGTGTTATAGAGAGGAATATGGTGGTCGAGGTCGAGAAGGGGGTCGTACCAAATCCACCTTGGGGGAGGGGGGTCGTAAAAATTTTTCGAATAGTAACAACGATAGGGTTGACCCTGCTGGAAATAACTTCGTATACCCAGCAACGCGCCAGCCGAGCTCTCTTTTGGAAGGCATGCTAAATAATTTCTTCGAAAAAGAACACCTTGAAGAAGCCTCATTAAAATATAGAACTATCCACCCTCTGCAAATATACCTATTTTCAGTGGATCCCTTAAACCCTTTTCAAGGATTCATCCCCAAAGAACTACGCTTATCACAACGACTGAACAGATTACACCATCTGCTTCATCAACCATCTGTCGTTCCCCGCGCCTGTTTCTCAGCACAAACAAAAACGTGACCCACTTTCCTATTCAGGAGCAACAAATAAATGCAAGTAAATAAGTCCCAAAAGACACATTCGAAATAGAACAACAGAATAGGAAACTAGGACTGAAATAATTAGTAGATGAATCAAAAAAGAATGATGAAGAAACAAGAATGATGGCAAAAACAATGATTGATTGAAAGTCGTGTCGCGCACCACACGCATATGGTCCGTCGTGTATTCGCTCGATCGATATGTATCTATTCCGTAGAAAAGCACGGCGGACGCCGAAGACTTGATTCGCTAGGAACTAGACGGAACATACCGTTTAAGGGCTTCCTCTCCACGATGGGCAGGCAGCTGCTGCATACACCGACTGTAGACCTTTTCTAGGCGATTTCCTACCATCTCCATACATGTGAGGGTATTAGTTCCTGAATTAGGCGCCTGCTGATCGACAAATTTTTAATGAAAGCCCATGAAGCATTATGAAAAACGCACTTAGATCAGTGAAGAAAATCTGGCTCTTTGTACTATCGGCGAAACATGGTTGACGTTCATGAATTACCGATAAGTTATCCGATGGTGGAAAAACGAAACTTCCAATAATCTGAAACACAAATAAGTTTAACACACTGATGACATCGCGCGTTTTGTTTTTTGGCCCCGCAGGGCCTGCGCGACTTTGCGAGTGCAATCACCTCATCTTACATCCACATGTTTGTTGTAAGTACGAAATATTTGGATGCGATAAAATGTTTCCATTAGTGCTCAATGGGTTTAATTCATCCAGAACAGAGTGGAAGTTTGACCATAATGGTGTGTAATACCATGAAAAAGCTAATTTGACAGACTTTCGCTGTAGTGATTTCAAAATTATTCTGGAACCTGGACGTTTCAGTAAAAGCACATATCTTGCCATACGAATAGGTTTGGTTTACTATTCTTTCATCAACATGATTACATAAATGAAAAGAAAATGGAGGTGAACTGAACAGACATTTTCATAAGGGTTGGAAAACCTGCGCCAAACCAGGGCCTGTGTCAGACTTTGCGAATCCAGCAATTCTCTAGCGAATCGTGGGGTACGATTGTCGCACCAGCGGCTAGAAAGATGTATCAGCGACTCGACACTGTTTGAAAGAGCGGGACTCTCTCTCGTTTGCATGTCGACTTTCGCCAAATCTCTGTGCTCTCATTTTCTCCCACTCTTTCATACCCTAGTGGGCCCGGGAATGTGACGAGAGTCAAAGTTCAAAGGTAGTCCTGTCACTTTCAAGCAATATCCAGTCGCTGGTACGGCGGGGTGTGGTATATAATTGCCACAAGTTCCGACGTGGCCTAAAAATGGCGGCGTACATAGCTGCCGCGCTGTCACATTATTTTAATTTTACATCACTAGTACCAGTACTCATAAACTCCAACGCACCCTATTATACTCAGTAGCATCGAAAATCGTAGCAGACAGCTGTGTTCCGACTTTCTTCACCGTTATCAAATCACCGTTACATGTATATGTTAAGGCTAAAACACATAGAATGAAGTACCTTAGTACGATTTTTTTAAAAATTCGAAACGACAATTTCAAAACAACTATTTCGAAAAAACTTGCCGCGATGACGGGCTGCGAGCCCACTGGCTAGGATACTTAGACGCTTCAATTTCGGTTCATAGAGATACAAGTTTGACCGATCAAGGATTCCCATTGCAGCTACAACATAAGTTTGTTGAGAAACATCAACTAGCACGAGCATAGCCAGAATAAGTTGAGTAAGATAGAAATCAATGCAAGAAAAGAAAACGAACCACCCGGCCGAAGGATGCAAATGGCACACGGCTGGTCGAACCCTCTCAACGTAAGATTGTCCAACAACCGTCCATCACTAGTTGAAAACAAGATCTATAAATTGAGGAGCATGACTCCAACCTCATCGATATTAAACAAACTTGTGTGTACATAAAATCGAACATGAGTAGCAAAAGTTCAAGGAAGACCTAGAGAGCATCAACAACGTAGAACTTACTGCATCCTGACGAGTGAACACAAAAGTATCCAAGGCCGAGTCATATGTGCAGCCTAGTGGGGCCGACACCAACCCAGTAGCTACATCTTTAACTTTGTGAAGCACAAGTTCTGCAAAAGGAAATGGTTTTACATGACAAGAGACTGAAAAAAAATCATTTTCAAGTTCCAAGTTAACGAGGATTCAGTAGTTCCCATCTTTGAAAAAAAGAAGATGAGGACAGATACTTCCTCAACACTACCTCCACTTGAGTCAATCCATCGATTGAAATCATATCTGCGCTCAACAGGCATATATCGAGGGAGATTGTGAGCCTTTGCAGCAGAACTCGCAGATAGCTTCGGAACCGCAGAAGTTCGTATGTGATTAGATCGAGGCGACGGTTCCCGGCCATGCGGCTGCCTCTTTTCTTTTCCTGAAACGAACTCTCGCATCCATTACGACTCCCTCGACGTCGTGGATTGGCTGAAAGTTCATATTGAGAAGAAGGCTCCGAATGTTAAACGTACTTTTCTCATTACTCCTATCAGAAGCGAAGCGTTTTCGTTCCTGGCCACGAGAAGACGAACGCCGGCGTAGAACCGGCGAGCTATTCTGAAAACCAGAGAATCAAGGATGCTACTGGACATTATAAGCTACTCATGTTTCGCTGAAGCCAAGAGTCAAGATTCGCTTTCAAGAGCAAGTCGCTTCTAGAGCGAGAAAGAGGGATCCCCGAGGCAGGAGGTACGACACTGTCGCGACTCAAAAGTGCGAGGCAACGGCGCTAAGGCCTTGCCTTGTGTGCTGCCGTGCTGCCATCCTTATCAACCACGGCATACGTGGTCTCTGCGCCCTCTCGCGTACGACGTACTATCTCGCGTTTTCCCTCTCCTCGCAGCGCTGTGTCTCTCCGTCATACCACGGCCGGCCTAAGGGAAATTTAGTGTTTTCTGGTGCTTTTTGCTTTTTCTCCTCACTAATGTTCCTCATTGCACTTCTTGCCTTATTTTCAGGCATGAATAACACCCCAATTTGATCCCGACTCATGCTTTTAACCTGATAGAACCGAGCTGCGACCAATCTTGCAAGCTTAGGAAGCAAATTCAGGAACTTAGGCAGGTTAACACTAGGGAAGACCAAAACTCCAGAAAAAGAACGTAAAACTGAGCAGGTTTAGCAAATGGCACCGATTTTAGCATATTTTGCTTTTTTATTAGCTTGAAAGCTCTGAAAGCCATCATAATGTGGAGCGTATCGGATCAAATAAATAAATAAATACTGATTGCAAAATGTACACAGATATAATAAATATATCTGTGGATTAGATCTGAATTACAAACCCTCTTGCGGACATTTTCCGTTGATCTTCTAGAGGACAAATCCGGCTTGGAGGCATTTCTGCGATCCACCTGAAATTTTCCAACATATAGATGTCCACAAGCAGCCACCATTTGAGTGACAATTGTGGGCTTTTCTAGGGTTTTATCAAGAATGCGTACCAAACTGAATAACTGAAAGCTCCTCAAATAGTAACTCATTTGTAAGAGGATTTTGAAACAGGCAACGCAAAATTAAACTAACTTTTTCCTTCTCAGATGTTTTAGGTACAGATGTAGTCCTTTTGTGGTGTTTGCAACGATACTTGTTCGAGCTCTCAGTCTGTAAGTGTGAATAAGCTTGAACGAACAGACGCCTTTCTCCCAAAAAATTTCAAAGACACGGAAAAAACTGCGGCCGAAAAAGGATTATATTACAACATTGAAACGGTAAAAATTCCCGAAAAATTAAATCCCTGATTCCTCAAGAGACTTTGGCAAACCCCTCCACTACCCCAGTACGATCACCCCTTTTGCGAAGCATGCTTCTTGGGTGCCAGAGCGCATTTATTACTACATGCCTAGACAGGCTGTCCCTAAGGTCCCTAGCTGGAGCTACACCAACACCAACGGCAGTCAGCTACCAAGTTTTTCCATACGGCTACATCAGCCTTAGGGAGGTTTTGCCCTATTTATGAAAATGTCTATGAAAAAAAAGTAAAGGAAGCAAGAGCTTAATCAGAGGAGAACACCAAAGGATTTGAAAAATTGTTCCACAAAAATAAAGGAGAAGCAAAGCAAATCTAAGACCTTTCTTTTAGTAGTTTCTTTTTGTATCCTCTTCTCAGTTTGTTCGGGTTGTTCACTACCTATAAATGATTTCCTTAGTCTATTACACAACAACTAATACTTTCAGGACGAATTTCATCACCAAATCTTAATAGATACAAAACGAATTTCAATCGAAATGAGTGACATCAAGATAATAGCATTATTTAAGTACGCGAACTAGGAGGCTCTTCATCTTCGCACTCTAGAAACTCATCGCCATCGTAAATCCTCAAGTCGTGGTCCTCGGCCCATCTTGCTGCCATAGCCAGTTCGTCTTCCACGCCAGACACCTAACAGCAAACTATTTTCGAAACTCATCTTCGAATGCGTAACCGTATAATTGTAAATCTAACCATTATGAGAAAAACGTATTGAACGGTTTCATTCAAAAAGTTTTCGATGATCAAAAATTTTGTATCGATCGCTGTTGCAGATAAGCAAAGTACACTGACTACATTGGCGACAACCACCTCGAACATCGCGCATCACGCACGCCCTTTCATTGGGGACCCGTCGAAGGGAACAAAAACGTTCCCTCACGAAAACCGAGGAAAAGGACAAAGAGTGGAAGTGCAAAGTGATGAAATGGCACCAGCTGTCATCACGCAGACAGCACCGTTAGGCATTCGAAGAAAGCGTTTCATCACTTCATTAGTCTCCTCACTTGTTGAACAATTGCCGATTTAGAGTTGGGAATCGGGTATCGCAAAAAAATAATAAGTTAACAGCTTCGTAAGACACCTGTTTATTGAGATCCGAGGTAGACGAAACCTCGTCACGCGAGATCGGTTGTGGAGTCCGGCTCCGAGATCTGGATTCATCCACAATACGCATTCGATCAACATCTCTAACAAAACTGCTCGCAACGCTTCTCGTACTATACGCCTGAAAATGCACTGAATACGTGAGAAGCTGCAACGACCTCGAGGAATAGTACCTTCCCGCAAAAGAGCGC